AAAATCTGATGAAGACAGGGCTTTTCCACAGTCGAACAGATTATTCCATGATGAGATTATTGGCAAGGAGACAAAATCAGCCACAAAATACCAGGATATTGGAAAGGAAATAGCAATTTCAGTTTCAACATATATATCCAATTTTCAAGATAGGGCCTGTATAAGCCGAGCCAGTGTTTCTCAACTTGCATCAGAACTGCCCAGAGCGCTGGTTAACCATGCATATGCCTGGGCCAGAAGTTGACAACTAAAGATGCCATTCACAAATCCAGTTACAGCTAGCCATCCACATGACTTTTATGCACATTCAAGTTCAATAACCACTGGAATACAAGGTGGTAGACTTCGCATTAACATTCCTTGCTTAAGATATATTTGGGGAGGAAAGGCTGAGGACATGAAGTTTACATTTAAGATTATAATTTGGTGAACTGACCATTAGGGTTAAAGTCCCAAAACAAGGAATTTCTATAAATCCTTGTCAAGAGCTGGTAACACCTGGAAGTCAACTATTAAGCAGAAAGCCATCCAAGGAAATGCAGCCAGCTTGGAAGTTAAGCAATGACTTCCATTTTCTGTGTGGCATCAGCAGGTAGTTCAAGCACCTCAAAAAAAGTGATGTGACAACAGGAAATAGAAAGAGGACGCAAATCCCAGCACTGGAATATTTAGACACAGGCTGGCTACTGGAGCTGCTGTGCCCTGAATCTGTCACTGCTGGGCTCTGTCCTGCACATGACAAGGTGCTAAGCACCAAATGCCAAAACTAAAACAGCAACCACTTAACTCCGGGGACCTACATTATATGCCAAGTCCTCTCAAATGCAAAAACAACCCAAGAAATAGTATTTTGCCAGTACGCAAAAGTGTGTTCTAATAACAATATAAAGTGTGGTACATAAATGCCTTTTACTCTTAAGAAAAAAAATTCTAATCTAGATGGTCTAGCAGAACTTGGAGGATGTTCCCTGTGTCCTCACTGACACCCTGTGGCTTTATCCCACGGGCCACACTCACCACACTCCAAGAGTGACTTTAGAGCGGAGAGGGCGGAGGGGGTTCCTGCCAAGGGCCATTTGAATATTTATAGCATTACTTGGGGGCCATACAAAATTATCAACTTAAAAATTAGCCTGCTGCCGAAGCCAGTTTGGCTCAGTGGTAAAGCGTCGGTCTGTGGACTGAAAGGTCCCAGGTTCGATTCCGGTCAAGGGCATGTACATTAATTGTGGGCACATCCCCAGTAGGGGGTGTGCAAGAGGCAGTTGGTTGATGTTTCTCTAATTTTTTACTTATTTAAAAAAATTATTTAGCCATCGACATTTCTAGCGCTCTATCTCTCTCCCTTCCTCTCTGTAAAAAAGCAATAAAATATATTAAAAAAAAAAAAAACACTTTAAAGTATTTCCTCTAATTAAAAAAAAAATTAGTAAGCTATATTTGGCCAACCATTTAATTAACTCACCCCTAATGCCTTGGCAGGGCCAGACCAAATGATTTCACGGGCCTCACACTGCCTACCGGCTGGATGCTCCCCACCCCTGCTTTACACGTGCAGCTTCTGCTGCTGCCCATTTCTGTCCACACTCCCAACAGTACAGCTGAGTTACAAAAGCTGCTACTCAATCAAAGGTCATCCCTTTGCACATGACTGGTGACTAAACTCTAGGCCTGTTTTTTGTTGTTATATTTTCAAGCTGATTTAAATAACACCTTTACATGTTTAATAGAAGGTAATCATGAGCAATACATGGCACATGTGCCAAAGGTAGGCCAATGTAATGGAATACCAACTGGTTGCCTCTACCATATGTGCCCACCCCACCCACACACAGAGACTTGTAACCATGGCAGATATCCACAGGTAGCAAATACTCTCTCCACCTACGGGAGGTAAAGTAACACAACACTTCTTCCCCACCCTGGGAATACCAGAAGAGAGTTGATTCTTGGCACACCACTTTTCAGAAGTTGCTGACAGTATATATTTGATAGTGCAAATATATAAGTGTGTGTGTAAATGTACTCAGGAGTAAAATATAAAATACACCTGACCTGTTTTTCCTTTATTTATGGGTGAGCAATGATGTTGAAAATAACAATATATTAGAATTTGAGGAACTACATTAAAAACTTAAATTTAGAAATGAAATGAAAATATTTTATCAGATCTAATCATTTCTGAGGCCCACGTTCTTTGTACCCAGGAGATAATTCTGCCTGGGAACTTAACTTGAATTTGGATAATGTAGTTAATGTCACAAGGGAGACACCAAAGGATACAGAATGACCCACCCATGAGGATTCTTACTGTGTGGCTTACCTGATAACAGATGGCACAAATATCATTGTGTTTCTCAAGCTGCTCTTTAGTTGCGAGAGGTAATGATTTAATCTTATTCACAGCATCCCTGCGGAGAAGAAAGCTCTTCCAGCCCAGCTGGGCCCGAAGCCACACATTGTAGTAGGAATGGATGAAGATGATCATTGAGCCCATTACTGTCCATTCTCCGAAGATGGTCTCCGAGACGCCATAGGCCACCACACAAAGCGCCACAAGAAACTCCAGCAGGCGGTAAGTGCCATTCACATAATAGATAACATCATCCATATTTTCTACTGGCTCTTTTCTGAATTCCTCAACCATAAATAAGACATAAATAAAAAGTGTTCCCAGAACCTGAAAGAGAAAGCATGTACATTAAAACAGAATATGATCACTGTGAAAGGTTTTCCATAGACGTTAAACATTAACACATTCCTAACACTTTTGGATGCCTCAAATGTATCTAGAGGAGACAGTGGCATGATTAAAATGTGGCTGCGTGATTTCAATAATCCAGGTATTAGATACCAAAAAGCCATATCTTGAGACACAACTTTCCTAAAACAGTTCTAATTAGTAATTAGTTTTCTCTGATTCTTTCCTTCCTCTTAGTCCCTAGGTCACCAAAACCCATAAAAATTCTATCTGAATTTTCTTCACTCTGTAGTCATACGTGTTCCTTCACTTTGAAAGAACTGTTACTTCTACAAGGAATAGTGAATAAATCCTACTGCCAGTGCTACATTTTCTTTTACTTCCTACAGATCAGGCAGCAAAGATCCACCTGAGTTATAATAAGCTTATCATTTTCAGGCAATACTGGTTATATGTGTAATACACATGTCATTTTATTTATAAACAATATGAAATTACGGATATTTCTGAATGGTATTTTCTTACTAAAAAAGGGGAGGGAGGCTCCAAACAAGTGCTAAAATCTTTTAATATTTTTTAATTACTTCAATTTATGATTTACATAACAGCTCTGTATCATACCATTTTGAAAAAGAGAAAGTAAAATGTTTAATTATCTTGATAAAATAGAATACAGTGACAGACAGCCTAGTATTTTAATAAACTACTTTCAACTCCTATGCTCAAATAAATGTCACATATTTTAGTACAGAAGGTGGGAAGTAATCACCTAATAGGTCATATTTTATCATGAGTCCTTAAAAAAGTTTTAGTTATTATACAACGTTAATAACTTTGGCTTACCTGAAGAGAGGTAAGAATGCTGCTAGAAATAATGATAAGAAGCCAAAAATCCATGTGGAAAAACTGGCAAATCATGTAAGCCATGTAAGCGGGGAATATCAGTAAAAATAAACAAAGGCTCACAGCACGGAAGTGTTTCCATAAACTCCTAGAGAAAGAAAAGCATTCTTTTAAAGTGCCTGTTTCCTAGTAACACAACCATTACATTCCCAGCTAACAGGTGTTTGTCATGCTTCTCTTTACAAATACCGTCCTGAGCACCCTTCACCAGCCTGTCACGGCACTGAAGGTCAGGGCAGGTCAGGGCTCAGGCCGGTGTGTCCACCTGACTTGCTTCTTTTCTCTCAGTTTCCACACTCAGCCACAGCCAGGCATCATCAATTCTTTTTTTCCTCAAGAGTTTGCTTTCAGTTTCATTCTCAATCCTTGCTACTTGAAAGCAAGTTCAGGCTTCCGTAGCATTAAACCTTAATAATTTTAACACTAGTTTGTGTTCTTAAGTCATATGCCATCACCATCCCCCTTTTCCCTGCCCACTCCACCATGATGAAAATCTTGGCATGAGCCGAAACCGGTTTGGCTCCGCGGTAGAGCGTTGGTCTGCGGACTGAAAGGTCCCAGGTTCGAGTCCGGTCAAGGGCATGTACATTGGTTGCGGGCACATCCCCAGTAGGGGGTGTGCAAGAGGCAGCTGGTCGATGTTTCTCTCTCATCGACGTTTCTAGCTCTCTATCCCTCTCCCTTCCTCTCTGTAAGAAAAATCAATAAAATATATTAAAAAAAAAAAAAAAATCTCGGCATGAGACAGGTATATTGATCTTCACATCTGCTGAGGTTAGAGCAAAAACTGAGGCAAGACCTACGAGCTGCTCTTCCTCCCCAGAGACCTGTCTTGGACTCCGCCAGCCACACTAAGCTTCTTAAGGCTCTATAAGAATAATAAGCAAAGAGCTTTAAATTTATATCTAATTTTTGTGTGTTTATACATATATACACATATTATCTCCCTATTTAAGCATCAAATGAGGTTGTTACTCCATAAATGCCTGTCTCTATGATTGCCTCCAGTCTTTTTCTTTCATTTACATTTCTCTCAATGCTTTCTCTCCTTCAGCATTACACAGAATAAAATTATGTATTAATTGCTGTATTTACTAAAATAAGTTTTATGCTCTATGTTCTTCATTTTAAAACTGGACAATTGTAAAAAGTATTAAATTTCTCTGAAGAAAAGTTTATTTGTAATAAATGGTCTTTGATATTACTTTTAACTATAGGAATCTTGAGAGAAAAAATAAACAACAGAAAAGTCAGCCATATAAAAAAATTAAAATTAAATTTGTTCACTTAAGTTAACACCAATTATTCATCCATTTTCTGTCTGTAAACATTACCCAAATCTTCTGATGATAAACTCATGTAAAGCATACTACAAAAACTTCTCTTAGCAAGTTTCTTACTTGTCTCTAGATGCTCCCAGCGCCAAAACAATAGGGTCTGCAATCTCCAGCATAGACTGTAGGATAGAAGCTACAACAATGAAAAGGATAATACTGAGCAGGAATGCCCGGTGAACCACCTGCAGCTCGATGAGACCCGTCTGCACCGCCAGGATTAACAGCGTAACTCCTTCTGTCATGCCCCTAAGAAGCATACAATTTCAGAAAAACAATCAGAATCTCATTTAATTCCAACAGAAAACAATCTAAAGGATCAGTCTGTTGTTTTGTATCTGTGATCGTTAGATAAAAAAAAAAGACAACACATAATCAGACTATTAACTTATCATATAACATCAATGTAATAATATACAGTCATAATGAATTAGTACATGAGCAAAATATAATAGCTATTTACTGAACATACAATCAATGACAAAATCAACTTCTGAGATAAGTAAGTATTCTAACTAGTTTGGTAATAATCAAAATACATCTAAATTCTTAGATACCCACTGAATTACAGATTTTTACAGCATGAGACATAAACAGATAAAACCTTTCTAGAGAAAAATTTGCTAATAAATTTAAAATGAACATATCCTTCAACTTAATAAATTTACCACAAATAATTTTTCCTATGAACGTACTACAAAAGTTATGTATCAAAGAAAATATAGTGAATGATGGAACATGTTATATGATATCACGGGGATACAATCAGCAAAATTGAGACTCTGAAAAATGAAGTAAGACTGCTGGTATCTTCAATAAATAAAATGAAAGAAAATACAGATATAGTAGGGACCTAAATATTAAAAGTGACTTAAGAGATATATCAAACAAGTGCAATACAGCCGAAGCCGGTTTGGCTCAGTGGTAGAGCGTCGGTCTGTGGACTGAAAGGTCCCAGGTTCGATTCCAGTCAGGGGCATGTACGTTGGTTGCAGGCACATCCCCGGTGGGGGGTGTGCAGGAGGCGACTGGTCTATGTTTCTCTCATCAACATTTCTGGCTCTCTATCTCTCTCCCTTCCTCTCTGTAAAAAAATCAATAAAATATATTAAAAAAAAAAAAAAAAAACAAGTATAATACAGTCTTATATGGATCTTGAGTTGACCAAACAAAATGTTTAAAACATTTTAGATTACTAGGGAAATCTGAACACCAACTGGGTATTTGATGTCAAGAAATTCTTTTGTTATGAATAAACATTCTATTATGGTTATGTTTTTTCAAAAGCTTTAATAGACAAAAATATTTAGGTAAAAGTATATTATTATATCTGGGATTTACTCCAAACAAATGCAGCCAGGGCTTTATGGAGGAGGGGTTAGGGTGGGTGAACTTGATAAGGACATGGGTGACACACAACTGTACTTGAGAATTTCACTCCTCTCTCAGCTTTGTTGGTTTGAAATTTGCCTAATTAAGCATTTAAAAATAAGAGCGACATATATAAAGTTACTCATAACTTTATATATATCATTACTTTTTAACAGGAAAAAAAAAGATAAATGCATTTGGAAGACTATGCTTTCATCAAAAAAGAATGAAATGTATTTACATGTATTGACATAAAAATAAAACATTAACACTACTTAAAACATTAAGTGAAACAATAAGGTGCACGATAGTGTGAATAGCATGCAGAAATTAGCCCCCCCCCCCCAAAAAAATATATGCACTTTTCCCTCTAAGTCAAGTTATAGATAAAACTTAAACTTATAGTTGTCACGGGGATATAAAGTACAGCAGAGGAAATATGGTCAATAATATTGTAATAACTATGTATGGTGTTAGATGGGTACTAGATTTATTGGGGTGCTTCACAATACATAAAAATGTCTAATCAGCCGGCACCGGTTTGGCTCAGTGGTAGAGTGTCGGTCTGCGGACTGAAAGGTCCCGGGTTCAATTCCGGTCAAGGGCATGTACCTTGGTTGCGGGCACATCCCCAGTAGGGGGTGTACAAGAGGCAGCTGGTCGATGATTCTCTCTCATCGACGTTTCTAGCTCTCTATCCCTCTCTCTTCCTCTCTGTGAAAAATCAATAAAAATATATTAAAAAAAAAATGTCTAATCACTATGTTGTACACCTAAAACAAATATAATATTGTACGTCAACTGTAATTGGAAAATACATTTTTTTTAAATGGGTAAAAAATATTTTTAAATAAGAAATTTTAAAGTAATCATCTATAGCTGTTATGCTTGGGGAGAGGAAATGGAAAGTAGGAGAAGTATCACTATCCATTTTGTACTTTTTGAACACTTTAAATTGTCAATTTACACGAGTTATTTTTTTCTTTCTTGCCCTCCCTCCTTTATTCCCATCACGAAGGTGTTGGCTGGCACTGGCAGGAAAATTATAGAGCACAGGTTTTTAAATTTTCTGTAATAAAAATGTAATATACACTCCTCCAAAATTTGCCCTCAATTTACAAGGTATTTACTATTTACTAATTCTTAAATAATCCATAAAAATTTAGAGTTTAAGAAGAGGTTATGTAAACTTATATAAATGAAACTCCTATATTTAAATAGACATCATGACAAGTTCTAGAAACAAGATTTCCCAATAACCTGATCTTACTAATTTAATAACCACTAGATTTTAACCATTATGCATTCTCATTAATGATCCTTTGAAACTTTGATTAGTATCAAAATTATGTTCAAACATTAAAAAACGTTAAGTATCAAATATAAAAATCTGATTTTAAAATAAGCTATCAAAAACCTCTAAAACAGCCGAAACCGGTTTCGCTCAATGGATAGAGCGTCCGCCCGCGGCCTGAAAGGTCCCAGGTTCGATTTCAGTCAAGGGGCATGTACCTTGGTTGCGGACACATCCCCAACAGTGAGTGTGCAAGAGGCAGCTGATGGATGATTCTCTCTCATCGATGTTTCTAACTCTCTATCCCTCTCTCTTCCTCTCTGTGAAAAATCAATAAAATATATATATATTTTTTAAAACCAACTCAAAATTCCATTTCCTCTAAAATGCATCAACAAAAATAATTTATCATTACTTCTTCAAGTTAGAGATAAGATTTAAATGTCTAGAAATATTCGAAATAGAGAACTTACCGGTTCATGGCAGGATCATTCATGAAAGCTCGATAACCCTGCAAGTAAAACTTGCAGAGTGTCAGAACACCCAAGGCAACAAAAGAAACCGTGAAGACCAAACCCAAAAGAGAGTAAGGAGTGCTGCAGCATTCAGCAATACTGGAAGAAAAGGGGACATGGAGGCAGATAAAAATTTTCTATTTGGAATAAAAACATCTTAAACTTTCAAATAATCACCAAACTTAACCTAATTCTCATTAATTAAAACACTCCAAACTAAAATTTCCTAAACATCTTATTAATTTAAATCTATTCTTATTATCCTAACCTACATTTTCTTACCCCTTTGGCAAATATTTAGTACACAGCACCATATCTGAAACAGTCTTCTTAATTTTTATTTATCTAGGATCTCCTTCAAATGCATCAGCTCCTTAAAACTCCCAGGGCTTACAGCTTGTTCAAACTTTAAGAAACACATCATTAACATATTGGTGATATTCAAAAGAAGCATGTATAGTTGTCCACTGTTCCTTCTGAAAATTGTTGGCTGTTCAAATTGTTCTCATTGTACTGCGACCGTAGTTACTAGTCAAAACTCTTTATTTAGACAAACTGCTATGGGGCAAGGTCTATGTTGGCTATGACGTCCCTGACATCACTTCAACACCTTCCATACTGTTGATTCTATAAAATAAACTTATTTAGGCTTAGTTTAATTTAGGTTTACATCAATTCATTTATTTTGGGTTATTTTTGAAGCAAGTTCAAGAATATAGCTCAAGACCATTTAAGAATATTTTAATATCGATATTCAGCATTAAACAGCATTAAATGTATTTCCTTGCTATGAATATCACAAGGAAAACTGGAAGATCTTACACTGAAGCTTGGAAACACTTTCATATTTTATGGAAATACATTCACTGAACATATTAGGTATTAACTTCTAAGTACTTTGCAAATATATATATTATGTACCAATAATTTGGATAAATCACTTACACAGCATCTAAGAAATGTTTAAAGCCCTGTATCTTCAGATCTGAATTTCATTTGGATGAATGAGGAGTTTAATCAGGGGAATCATATTGGTCCTTTACTAGTCAGCTCCATATTTCTGCTACATAGGTATCCTTTCTATATTACTGCTTACTATAATAGCTAGTTTTCATAGAAAAATATCTAATTTTATGCAGACCAATATATCTTCTAATGAGAAAAAAAGTGTCTGGTTTTATGTTAGGAATGAAAATACCTATCAATTGTACTGGCTGATAGCTAAAAGAATAAATATTATATGGCATTCTTACAAATCTGATTTATGAAATGCTTGACATTTTTCTTAGAGAAATCATTATATAACGTGTTTAAACATATTGTCCAGTAATTTACAAAATAGGAAAATCATGGCTGAAAATAACACTAAAAATTTTCTTATTCTCATTGTAAAATCTGAAGTTTAATGAAGGTCCATATTATTCCTGTATCTACACTTAAAGTAATCTTTTACACCCGAAGAAGAGTGATCTAATTACATTTTCAAGAGGAGCACATTCGTCTCTCTTTACTTTAGAAAAGAGTGTGTTGCTATTTTTCAAAAGAGAGCATAGCAAAGAAAACTAGCTTTCAATCTAGCTTTGGGGAAGTGAAAGAGTCTGGGAAATTTATAAAAATTTTTCTTCCCCCTCTCTTCAATGAGATATTTTATTAATTTTAGTTTCTATTTTTCTAGCTGCAAAAGAAGCTTCTTTTTGTTTTTCAGTTTGTGTATGCTTTTTGGTTGGTTTGTTTAGTCTGGGTGTTCTGATAAAGTTGCAACCCTCCTTTCTGTAAATAAGTTTTGTTTTTATTTTTTGACAAGGCAACACACAAATATAACTTGGCACACAAGAGCATCAAGAAGACCAAAAAACAATGCTTACAGAGATATAAATTAAGCAAAGAACCAGATGGGAACTTCTCTATTAAAAAACAAATTGAGCCCTGACCATTTTGGCTCAGTGAATGGAGCGTCGGCCTGTGGACTCAAGGGTCCCAGGTTCGATTCCCATTAAGGGCATGTGCCATGGTTGAGGGCGCGTACCCAGTGGGGAGTGTGCAGCAGGCAGCTGATTGGTGTTTCTCTCTCATCAATGTTTTTGGCTCTCTAGCCCTCTATCTTCCACTCTGTAGAAAACTAATAAAATATATATATTTTTTAAAATTGAAATATTCTTATTTTGAGGATCAATCTATCCTATATATAAAAAAAGAATAGAGAGAAAAATTAGTTTGGCAATATATCTAAACCTCACCAAAATCTCAGTATTATTTTTCTGACTTGTAATTAAGTCCAAATTCATTCACAGCTTACTGATGGTTGAGCCTATTTATTACACTATGCTATACTTCATTTGATTGTGCTTTACAATGAATAGCAATCTGGATTAAAACACAGTCATATTTAGGTTATTATTATAACCATAGGATTTTTATCTTCTTTCTCATTAAATTCAGTTACTTTTTACATCACTTTAAAAGTCTGCATAAAACCTCCATATGTACACAGAAGTAAACAGCAGTAAAATTTAGTTAATAATGGGCCATTAAAATGTGTTTGATACCAATTTATTATATGTTTATAGAAGCTACTTATCAATTAAAAGTGTTATTTTCACAAAGTACAAAATCTGACTTAGTACCAGTAAGTTTACTTTTTGTAAACATAGGTACTACCCTATGACATTTTTATTAATACTTAACTTTGTGTAACATGTTCAATCTTAACAAGAAACGTTCCTTAAGGACCATAAATTTGTTTTAAACTTCTCATTCCTTGTACCATTAGTACACAGTGTTCCATCATTTTGGATGGCTGGATAACAATGGTTCTATCAACTAAAATCCAAGACTTTTATCCACCTGTAGTATTTATTTTCCAGAAGGACAGTTTCATTTTTGCCTTTTAAGGCGACAGTGAGCCAGGGAGCAAAGATGTGTATCCATGTGCTAGATTCTGAGGGCACAAGATTCCAACTCCACGTGAAAAAATGGCAGATGTGGATCTAGCATAAGCTCACAGCAAAGACAGTGAAGTGAGAAAAGACTCTAAGGACTTTTTTTCATATTAAACCTTAAAAACCAAGTCTTAGAATACCTTGGGGATTAGTAGCAAAAGACTGTAAATAACCCTTTTAACTAATTATTTGACTCTACCTCAATAATGAAGCAAAACATTAAAAATAATGGGGCATAGTGCCCTAGCTGGTTTGGCTCAGTGGACAGAGCATCAGCCTGTAGACCGAAGAGTCCCAGGTTCAATTCCCAGTCAGGAAGCATGCCTGGGTTGCAGGCTCGATCCCCAGTAGAGGGTGTGCAGGAGGCAGCGGATCAATGATTCCCTCTCGTTGTTGACGTTTCTATCTCTCCCTCTCTCTGCCTCTCTAAAATCAATACAACTATATTAAACTAATAACAACAATGATGATGGGACATAGTGAAGGCGCATAGGTAAGCCACAAGATTTGAAGTCAGATGGGGTTTCAGGCTCAGTGCTGCTTCTTTCCACAGCACCACCTGAGTGACTTGGTACAGTGTCCTCAGCTATAAAATGGTAATAATAACAAAGGCACCAGCATCACCAGACCTGGACAGCCACTGAATGAAAATCCCATTTTAATTAAATATAAAGTACTATAATAAGACTGATAAAAGTTAATTTGTAAAACTTACTGTTCCTAGTTCAGTGTTTTCTTCCTAAGGTATGGCAATATCAGACGCTAATATTAGTTACCTTGTCAAGAAAAGGAAAAGAAGTCTCTCCCGAGACGCAGGCTGGTCTCGAGTACTGAAGTAGGAGTAAATCTGAAGAGCAAACAAGACGAGCCAGAAAACCATGAAAAGTACAGGGACCACCAGTTGATTCCACAGGGACATTCCCAAGGCTAGAAGGCCATATACCTCCACAACCTGAAAAAGAAAACAAATAGAAAAAAATCTTATCTTGTATCACAGATTAATAAATAATCCTATATAATAAAAGTATAATATGCTGCACTAGACCATTCGACCAATTGCTATGATGTGCACTGACCACCAGGAGGCAAATGCTCCAACTGGTAGGTTAGCTTGGCTGCTGGGGTCTAGCTGACCAGAACTGGGCAAGACGAGCCGGACATGCCCTGGACCCCTCCCAAGATCTTTCCCCAGCCCCAATTCTGCAGCAATGGGGTCCCTCATCCTGGCCTGTGCTCTCTCACAATCTGGGACCCCTCGAGGAATGTCGGAGAGCCGGTTTCGGCCTGATCCCCACAGGCCAGGCCAAGAGACCTCACTGGTGCATGAATCCATGCACAGAGCCTCTAGTTTTAAACTTAAAAAATTTATTCTAAAGTACTACAGATAAAACTTGAATCACTTTTATTGCAAGATTGTTTCAAATAAATTCCTTTAAAGTCACTCTACACAAATAGCCAATAGCATGTTTTAAAAAATTTATTGATTTCTGCATTATTATTAACACTTAACACACACTTATCAAATAGAAGAGTAAACTGCCCTCAGAGTTCAGTTATGAGCAGAATAAAACTTTATCAAGAGCAATGCCAGGAGACTTGCTAAACTTATCTTAATCAAAATGATCAGGACTAGCACAATTAATACAATATTGCTTGAAGGACTAGAGAAAAATAAAATATACAAGGAAACATTTTTCAGTTTTTTTTCAGAAATAACAATAGAAGTAGTTCGATGGAAGACTGAATAATCACTGGAGAGGTTTACTTTATCATAAAACAAAGATAATTAGCGAATTTGTCACCCCAGGAAATCAGCAAGTTTTTTCCTTCGCTCCTACTGTCTATTTATCAAGCAACATTTCTCAATTTGGTTTGTCAAGTACATTAACATCAGGAAACAAGCTATATCTTAAGAAAAAAGAAAAAAAAAAAACAAACACAAACCCAGGCAAGCTTCATCTCTAACCTAAGCAATCAACTGGTCTTGCTAGAACTCTCAATGTGATTCTTCAATAAGTTATAAAGATGTTAAAATACATGGGATTGCAAGTTGTTCTGGTTTCTAATTAGTATTTCTCTAGGTAGGCAAAGATCTTTTAAGTATTAAGTTAAAATACACTCACTTGCAGGGTATCCTAAATTTAATTTTTTTCATCTGTACCACTAAATCAAATGCTTTTTCTAAAAACTAGTAAAAAATTAATCTCTCTTTTCAGAACTTGAAAATATTGAAGGGAGGGGATGGGGGGAGGAAATTCCTCAACTAGCTATAAAGTTATTATTGATCATTGAGAGAGGTAGAGTAATTTTCCCCCTTTCCATTCAATGAGCAGATCACTAAAATACCTGACAGTTTTCACTTCTTGCCCATCAAATTTTTCCCAGGTCAGCCCAGTTGATGTAGTTCAGTGGTTGAGCTTTGACCCACAAACTAAGAGGTCCAGGCTCAATCCCCAGTAGGGGGGTGTGCAGGAGGCAGTCAATCCATGATGTTTTTCTCTCACTGATGTTTCTAACTCTATCGCTCTCACTTCCTTTCTAAAAATCAATAAAAACATTTAAAAAAAAAAAAAAAAAAAAAAAAAAAACCTTTAAAAAATTCCTTCCAGGTCATTAACTCCATAACTTATGTTTTCAACTGCCACACTAAATGATGCATGAATCTTATAGCAATCAACTCCTTGACACTGAAAATGTCATTGAACATGACTTTGAAAATACTTTGTCCTTTTGGAGAGTAATTAAACAGTGTACATTATTACTTACTAAATGTCTACTGTTTCTTACAAACTAAGACAGCTCCACAAGACTGAATTCAAAGAAAAAAAATATACAAATTAAATTGGCCATTCTCTCATGCAGACTGGTGCAACCACTGTGGAGAACAGTGTGGAGTTTCCTCAAAAAACTGAAAATGGAACTCCCATTTGACCCAGTAATCCCACTCCTAGGAATATATCCCAAGAAACTAGAAACACCAATCAGAAAAGATATATGCACCCCTAAGTTCATAGCAGCACAATCTACAATAGCTAGAATCATGAAACAGCCTAGGTGCCCGTCAGCAGATGATTGGATCAAAAAACTGTGGTACATCTACACAATGGAATACTATGCTGCCATAAAAAAGAAGGAATTCTCATCATTTGCAGCAACCTGGATGGAATTGGAGAACATCATGCTGAGTGAAATAAGCCAGTCAATGAAAGAAAAACACCACATGACCTCACTCATTTGTGGATAATAAAGTACATTATAAACTGATGAACCAAAAGATAGATATAGAGACAGTATATCAACAAGCAGACTGTCAAATTACAGTGGGGAGGGGAGGAAGATCTGGGGGAGATAATAGATCAACCAAAGGACTTTTATACATGCATATAAGTACAACCAATGGACATAAAACTCTGGGGAGGGAGGGGATGTGTGGGAGGGAGAGAGGGGGGCAAAAAAATATCAATAAAATATATTAAAAATAATAATAAATAAAAATTTAAAATAAATAATAAATAAAATAATAATAAAAAAATAAATTGTTCATTCTCTCTCTGAAGACAACAGCAACCTTTCCCTTGAAGCAACTTTTCATGGACAGACCGAAAATAACCTCATCTCTGGAAGATCTACTTCCAGGAATCATCCAACACTATGTAAGATGAAGAAATAAGGAAGTTCAGGCTAAGGTCAAGAGCTTGGAAAATTTTTCTCTGGGAAATCTGCTCCTGGGCCACAGCAACACAAAAGCCTGTTTCATCTAGTATGTTTGGACAACCTGAGAGCTTCCTGTACCTTAAGGTCATACACACACAGTCAAGAGAAGAGAATGCCCATTTCAACACTCTCTTTTTATACCACGGTCAGTTTTAAGCTCTATTATATATATAGGCTAGAGCAGTGGTCAGCAAACTCATTAGTCAACAGAGCCAAATATCAACAGTACAACGATTGAAATTTCTTTTGAGAGCCAAATTTTTTAAACTTAAACTTCTAACGCCATTTCTTCAAAATAGACTCATCCAGGCCATATTATCTTGTGGAAAAGCCACACTCAAGGAGCCAAAGAGCCGCACGTGGCTCGTGAGCTGCAGTTTGCTGACTATGGGGCTAGAGGCCTGGTGCATGGGTTCGTGCAACAGCCTGGCCTGAAGGGATCGGGCTGAAACCAGCTCTCCAACTTCCCCAAGGGGTCCTGAATTGTGAGAGGGGAGTTCTTGGATGACACATCCCAAAATCAGGCTCCTTCCTCTCTGGTTCCAGATGCATCACCCGAGAACCAAATCTGCCAAGTCACTGCAGCTCGGCAGCTCCTGCATTGAATGCCAGCCCCCTGTGGTCATTACACATCATAGCTACCAGCTGAATGGTTGGATGGTTGCTTAGGCTTTTATATGTATAAATACTGCAATTTCTCAATGAAATCAAATAGAAATATTTATCTCCTGCATATCTACTGTTTGTATCTAGGAATAATGTTTTAGAGCAAAGTCTGAAAAAAGTAGGAGACAGAAGCACGTTATATTAGCAAGTCAGTTCAAGTACTAAACGAAATCCATCATGTTACAGTCCAGAACTATTTAATTTCTCAGTTTAAGCAAATTAGGCAAACATAAAGGGAAAACTGCAGTTACAGTAAAACTATAATCAGGGGGAAAATAGGATCTGACTTCCAGTATGTATTAGCTGTCTTCATTACAACAATTAATGCATACTAAACATCACCTGCATGGCACTGAACTCATTTGAATCTCATGGCAACCCTCTGAATTAAGTACAACTGCTATTGTCAGTTCTATTTTATAGGTAAACGAAGTTCAGTGACTAGTTTACACAGCTAGTCAGCAGCAGCACTAGAGTAAAAACCCAGAGAAATCACTCCCCTTTACTGCCTCTCAATGGCACATCCCAACAAAGAATCTCAGATGTTCCTAACTGGGTTAAAAATAGTTGCTATCTTGAAACCATCAAACAGGTTACCATGATCAGGACTGTGGAAAAAAAAAAAAAAGGGAACTAAACCTTTAACATACGTAGTACTTATGTAGAGTTTTATCTACCTGTGTGTGGTTGTAAGTCTTACCTGAACCAATTCTCTGTATGCAGACTTAGCAAGGTTATAAGGTACCAAAAGATTAGACCCAAGAAAATAGAGAACTTCCAATCCAGTAAAAATCATAGCGAATTTGTTGATGATAACAATGGTCTCCAGAGGAACCAGGCAGAGTCGTGCTAGCAGAGGAAGCATGTGGGCGGAGAAGAGCCAAATCTGCTTCGTTTTCATGACACAGGAGCATAAAGTACACACCACCAACTGACCTAAAGGAGAAGAAGACATTTACTTTTGAGATTTGGTGTCCACAAAGTGAAAACAAAATCCCCCGTCAATAAGAACGATGACACAGCTTTTGAAGAAGTCTAATTAAGAGCACTTAGACCACTGGTCGGCAAATTCATTAGTCAACAGAACCAAATATCAACAGTACAAGGATTGAAATTTCTTTTGAGAGACAAATTTTTTAAACTTAAACTTCTTCTAATGCCATTTCTTCAAAATAGACTCCCCCAGGCTGTGGTATATTGTGGAAGAGCCATACTCAAGGGGCCAAAGAGCCGCACAGTTTGCTGACCACAGACTTAGACCAAGCTTATTAAACTCAAAGGCTAACACAGGCCAACTAAACAAGGCATGCAGCCCACATGTGTGAGTTTGATATGCTTGACTTAGACCAATTTTAACTTCATCTGATCGTAATTACATATTCACATGTTCTATGGATTTTGAGCAGCAATTCCCTATTATTTGAAAAAAGCAGCACAAATATTCACTGGTCTTCATCCCATTCCAGATAGCATGTGTAATATGGAGAAAGTTTCTAAAATATCTAATTTAATAGTATAATTCAGTTATTGCTATTACACATATAGCTCCTTTTACAAAGGTACTCAATATTTAACTCTCCTGGTCTGCAGGGGAAAATAAGGGGGACCGTTACCTGTCCAAGATCATGCTATGACAACATTTATTCTGAAGGTTTTTTTTGTTTGTTTTGTTTTTATCTTTAATTGCTTTTACAGGACCATAAAAGCCTTCTCAAATGACTCAATAATTAAAGTTAAAACTGAAAAGTTAAGGCAAGGAGGATTCTCAAAGAAGATTATGCATAATCATTATAGAAAATTTAGGAAATATTGAGAAGTAAAAAAGGAAAAAAATACCAATCTCTACAATTTTATCACCCAAAAGTATGTCTTAGTTCCATTAAATGAAGTACTACATATAAAATCTTAGCATTGTATTTGAAACCTAGTAAGTGCTCAACAAAAGTTAGCTATCCATATTATTTGTTATCTTTTCAGATTTATGCCATACACATGAATATACATGGATGTTTTATGTAAAGGAAATGTTTAGTGTACATAATATTTCATAATCAGCTCTTTTTATTTAATAAATATTATTCATATATCTCTCTATACCAATAAAAATATATACCTTTTTTTGTTGTTGCTATTTGGTATATTATTACACTTACTGTATATGACATAATATTAGCATTTGGCTGTTTTTAAATATTTCATGATTATAAAAAGCTTTGCATATTTATGAGATACTTGGTGCACATTTCCTAATATTTACTTAGACTCAATTCCTAAAAATGGGACTACAGAGTTATAATAAACATTTTTTAAGACTTTTGACATACACTATTGGATTGCCCTTCAGAAACAAAACACCCAGTGTACAGGGTGCCCATTTTCCCACTGACTTGCCAAAGTGAAAATAATTTAAGGAAGAGCAAGGAATATTTTCTAAGTTTTTAAAAAAAACTTGCAATTATTTATTGAAATTCTCATACACTTTCTGCCCATTCTTCTACTTGAATATGTAGAAGAATATTGTTTAAGACTTTAATCTAGTTTGCCATATGAATGTATTTCCAAATGTGTCACCTGTCTATTTTAATAACATTTTGTTCCTATTAGTGTAAGTTATTATTGTAAAGAGTCAAACCTATCAGTTTTTTCCTTAATGGTTTCCATCTTTGCTGCTATGGTTAATTACATGATTCCTCTTACTCAAGAGCATACAGGACCTTGGCCAGTGTGGCTCGGTTGGACCATTATCCTGTACACCAAAAGGTTTAATTCCTGGTCGGGGCACATATCTATGTTGTACCCGCCCGTCCCCAACTTCTCTAAAAGCAATAAAAATATATCCTCAGGTGATGATTTTTTTTTTTTTTTTTTTTTTAGGTATCTAGAAGTCTCAGACCGCCTCCCCCCCGCCCCCCGCACCAATCCAAAAGAAATATCACTCAGTCAAATTATCTTCCTTCTTGCCAATGAAAAGCAAAACAATACTCTGGGATTTTTGTTTGTGTTCCATTCATATTACTCTTAGAAGAATACAAAAATGGCAACATTGTTACACAAAGCCAAATGTTTATGAAGAACCTACTTACTATAAAACATGTGGTATTTTCTCCCACATATTAATTTTAGCCTTTAAAGAATTGATATTCATATGTGAAAAACATTCATAAAGACATATAAGGGAAAAAAAAAAAAAAAAAGAGGAAACCCTGTAACAATTAAAAAAAAAAAAAAAAAAAAAAAAAAAAACAAAACAGGAGAGAGGCCACCAAGTGAGACAAGCCAACATTGTATAGGAGTGATAGGAGAGAAAACAGAGCTATGAGGCAGCATGGTTTCAGCCAGACCATTGTGCTTCCCTGCCAGGGAGGAAGGCTGAAGTCTGCTCTGGAGAGGCTGAACAGACACTCCTGAACAGCCCAGGGCATGTGAGGTGCCCAAAAGAAAAGAAAGGATTAAAATAAAAATCTGCACTTCTAGATCTCCAAACACTGCTACCACATTTGCTGCCACCCAGTTCTAGTCACAGAGGGGACAGAAAGATTCTCCTTTAGGGAAAATGACCAGACTTATATCATGCACATGGATACACAAAGATGTTTCACATAAAGGAAATGTGTACTATTTTACACTAGGCTCTAAGTAAAAAGACCTACAAATACACTTAAAGTAGCCAGTCCCACTTGAACACCTACTATGTTCACACCAGCGACTAAGCTCTAAAGCAAGCATGTCAAATTCTTGGCCCTAAAGAGATTACAATCACCAACTTAATAACTCACTTTAAAACAAATGATCTGCCACAAACTCCCAGGTATTTAAGTAAAAACCTATAGCTTAATTAGCCTCAGCTGGGGCCTAGCATCAGTATTCATAATTAAAAAAAATAACTAGGTGTTTCCAATCCAGGTTTGAGCAGCATTGCTGTCTCGTGAAAGACAAAGACCAAAACAAACAGAAAAAAAGATCTCAAAGGAAATGGAATAAAAGAAAGCTTCAAAGAGATAACTAATATATTTAAGAAATAAAAAAGACTGCCATGCCCTACCCAGCATGGCACAGTGCATAGAGCTTCAGCCTGTGGACTGAAGGATCCCGGATTCAATTCTGGACAAGGGCACATGCCCAGGTTTCAGGCAGAAAAGAAAAACAGAACTGTAAGAAAGTTAGGGGCTCAATGTAGGAGAAATCTTAAACAATTAACATGATTTCCAGAAAAGGATAAAAGAGAAAACAGCAGAACAACACCTGAATGGAGCAGAGAGGTACAGGACAGAGCTGATTTTCATTATAAAATTGTAGTATTTCTTCACTTTTAAGGAAATGCTAGGAAAGATTAGAAATTTCCTTTCTGACAAAGCTTGTTTTCTCTGTGCTCATAGCTATGACACTTAAATTTCCTTGTTCAGAATGACAACTTCTTCTAAGCTCTGAACATTCCCACAAGCCTACGCCAGCACTCAGTACTCAGCTCTGGACAACAGGCTTCACTTATCTTCTTTCATGGAAGAATATGACTCATGTGCTATGATTCTAAGAGCAGATTTCTCCTCCTACTTAGATGGAAGAAGGAGTCAATTCGTGGAAACCTCTTCAGTAGCTCCAAAAGAACAGGAAGTTGTTTATTAACACTTATAAGTCTGAGTAAACCAAAATCTCAATGTATTCTTTGGATGTCTAAATTCCACTATTAGAAATATCTCCAAGAAATCTGCAACCCTAATAAATGATAGCATATTCAAATTACTTAGTTTTTGCAATGGAAGCAAAGAAGTAGAGAGTTACTTTAAAATTAAAGTAAGCCGAAACCGGTTTGGCTCAGTGGATAGAGCGTTGGCCTGCGGACTGAAGGGTCCCAGGTTCGATTCTGGTCAAGGGCATGTACCTTGGCTGCAGACACATCCCCAGTGGGGGGTGTGCAAGAGGCAGCTGATCGATGATTCTCTCTCATCGATGTTTCTAACTCTCTATCCCTCTCTCTTCCTCTCTGTAAAAAATCAATAAAATATATTTAAAAAAAATAAATAAATAAAATTAAATTAAATTAAAGTTAGATGAAAACATGCTACTTATTAATAGTGTAAGGGTTTTGTTTTAATTTCTAATTAATTGAATCATATTTGAGTATATTATTATAACCACTGAAAGAAACAATTTTTAAAAATGTTTCAGATTTATACTAAATTGTAGCTATCACAGAATAAGAGAGAATAATTTACAAGCTTTCTAACCTACCAAACATCCTCACATTTGAATGTTACCATTACTGAATACACCAACTCAGGATATACTCATAAAGCAACATTATCTTTGTCTCCTACTGTCTTTAAAAACCCATTCTAAAGACTAGTGTGCTCCTTTCCCAAAGTAAGTCCCATAACTTTTTAGCTTAATTTTCAGTCTCAATCTGCTAATAACTACAACGGACATTGATTTAAAGTTGAGGCTTTCCCTTTCCTCTGGCCTAGGCTTATGAGACTATGGATGAAAACATGCCTTGTGAGAGGGTCCACATTGGAGCATGTACGGCAGGATTCTACCTCTTTCTTTGCCAGCACCATCTCCCTCTCTTCTCATTTACCCAGGATTGAAAAAGGTAGGGAAGGAGAAGAAGGGAAGTAGGAAATTCTTACTCAAGTGTACTGACAAACGATATGCTGATGCTCCCTGGAATTGGGGAAACTTAAAACTTGATTTTTCTCCTGGGCAATTACATGGGTTCTTCTGAGATTGTCCCCATTAGTATGGATCACATCTGCAGTACCCCTGAGGCTTGCTATGTACTTCCTCTGGCTGTTTTTTTGGTTCTTTCCTTAACTCCTGGGAATCTTGGAAGTTCAATTCCTATTAGGGGTCTTATCACCCTTCTAAAGGGCCCTCCTGGAAGGACTAAGAAAATCCCTCCAACCAGTCCACAGGAAACCAGCATCATTTGCCTAAACAGTTTAGGGGATACGGAGAACCCAGCAAGTCATTCTCACTCCACAGTCAGAAAACTCAACAGCCTGCCACTCCACTGTTGGCCTTTATATCAGACTAGGGGCCCAGTGCACGAAGATTCATGCAATAGGCCTCCCTTCGCCTGAGTGCCGGCGCCGGTTTTCCTCTGGCACCCAGGACCCAGGCCTTTGCTCTGCCCACCGCCTTCCATCTTCACTCCGGCCAGTCTTTGCTCTGGCCAGCTGGACTCTTCACTCAAGCTGATGCCTTCAGTGTTTGCTCTGGCTGGAGCCTTCAGTCTCTCCACTCCGGCCAGAGCGCCACTCCTGTAGCTCCCCCTCTGGCCCCTGCCCACCCCCTCTTAGCAAGCGTCCCACCCACCTGGCTGCTCCATACCTGCATATGCAAATTAACTATCCATCTTTGTTCGGTTAATTTGCATACTCATTCCTGGTTGGCTAGTGGTTGTTGGAGGTATGGTCAATTTGCATATTTCTTTTATTAGTGTAGATTAGAATTATGAGGCACATGCGTAATTTTTAATTTACGTATGTGCTGATTCTATCGGGAATTTAAGCCTCATTTTAAAAAGTTAAAAATAACAGCTAAATTAACAATATATTTTTTTTTAACAGAACATATCCCAAATATCATATATTCAAATCTACATAAAAAAATTAACAACACATTTTACATCCTTTCTGTACAAAGTCTTAGAAACTTGATGTGTGTTTTACACTTGTGTATCTGAATGTGCACTAGCCACATTTCAAGTGCTCAGTGGCCACATGCAGCTAGTTTTGGATGATACAGCTTTAGATTTTGCAGACTTGGGCCAGACACCAGTCCATAGTATCACACCCCCCCCCCTCAATCCACAGAAGACATGTGACTCTAAATCAGGGGTGGGGAAGCTTTTTTCTGCCAAGGGCCATTTGATTATTTATAATATCACACTGGGGCCACACAAAATTATCAACTTAAAAATTAGCCTGCTTGCCCTAGCTGGTTTGGCTCAGAAGATAGAGCATTGGCTTGCATACTGAAGGGTCCCAGGTTCAATTCCAGTCAAGGGCACATGCCAGGGTTGTGGGCTCAAATCTCCAGTAGTGGGCATGCAGGAGGCAAGCTCATCAATGATACTCTCTCTCATCCTTGAAGTTTCTATCTCACTCTCCCTCTCCCTTCCTCTCTGAAATCAATAAAAATATACTTTTAAAAAATTAGCCTGCTATATTTTGTCAAACATGTAATTAACTCACCCCTAATGCCTTGGCAGGACTAGATCAAATGACTTCTCAGGCCTTACAACAGCCCACAGGCCAGACATTCCCCACTCCTGCAATGATCCAGCACTGAATTCTCTAGATGTGAAGGGGTTGAGAGGTATTCAGAGCAAACAGTTCTCTCTAAAGAAATCCTCCTTTGCCCTAGCTGGTTTGGCTCAGGGGATAGAGCATCAGCCTGCAGACTGAAGGGTCCCAGGTTCAATTCAGGTCAAGGGCACATGCCAGGGTTGCAGGCCAGTAGGGGGCATGCCGGAGGCAAGCCCATCAATGATTCTCTCTCATCCTTAATGTTTCCTCTCTCTCTCCCTCTCCCTTCCTCTCTCAATTCAATAAAAATATATTAATAATAATAGTTTAAAAAAGAAACTCTCCTTCAATCTCCAACAATGGACCTTTTTAACACTTGCATAGGTGAGGTTAAGAGCCACAAATAGGTTTTCTCTCACTTCTTTTTATGCAGCTCTGGTTCCTCACTTTACACTGTTTTGTCTCTATAGTTTTGAGGCCTTAGCCAACACTTCTACTTTTACATTTTGTTACCTGAAAATTTCAATCATGTCTCAAGTACTTGAAGTTTCTGGCAATTTAGTTTTGGCTATAAGGTGATGGCTTTCAATAGTAATAAATAACTTTTAACACATTACACATTTCATTTTAATCTTACAAAGTCATAATTAGCTTTATTAATCTTCCCAAATACTCAAAATACCACTAAAAAGCACAAGCAACTATAGGCAATCCTATATAATAAATAGGTGATATGCAAATTGATCAGCACTCCAACATACAAGATGGCCACCCCCATGTGGACACAAGATGGCCACTACAAGATGGCTGGCAGGGGAGGGCAGTTGTGGGGGGACCAGGCCTGCAGGGGAGGGCAGTTGTGGGGGGACCAGGCCTGCAGGAGAGGGCAGTTGGGGGGTGACCAGGCCAACAGGGGAGGACAGTTAGGGGTGACCAGGCCAGTAGGAGAGGGCAGTTAGGGGCAATTGGGCCAGCAGGGAAGCAGTTAGGCATTGATCAGGCTGGCAGGGGAGTAGTTAGGAGGTGAACAAGCTGGCAGGCAGAGGCAAACAGGCAGGCAGGCAGGCGAGCAGTTGGGAGCCAGCAAGCCTGGATTGTGAGAAGGATCCCAGATTGGAAAGGGTGCACACTGGGCGCGCACACACACACACACACACACACACACACACACCTGTGCATGAATTTTGTGAACCAGGTCTCTTGTGTATGATTATAAACTCATAAAATAAAAAGTACTGATGCAAGAAGAAAAGCGACTAAGTAAAGGGAATGTTTAACAATGGCTGAAGTTTGAAAGAGTCCCTGTGTTTTGTTTGCTTGTTTTTGGTAGTAATTTTTTTTTTTTTTTTTGTAGTAATTATAAGAGCAAAACTGGTTGGTTCCTACCTACACTTTTAATTCTTTTATAGTACTTACCTATTAAGGCTGTGGTAAATCGATTCATAGAGAGAGGTTCTAAATACATGGGTCCTTCATAGGCAGACTCCAATTCACTTCGAACATAGTCCCTATAAAAGTAAAATGGTAAGAATGGATTAGATACATCCCACGTACAGATGGCAAACAGAAGCAGCTAAAGCACAGAATTCCTATAAAAAGCATATTCTCCTCTTAATAATTCCTCTTTCCACTTCTAAGGAAAAATTTAAGTATAATGACTTATATAGGAATGGCCTTCAAATCCTTCTTCCCAACACTGAAACAGAATTTACAGAAATGGGAGATTACTATGCAGAGAAGACAGGCGAACCTCCATTGTGTGGGACTTTCTTTCTTCCCATGACCTTATTAAATAATTTACATTCAGTAAAAAAGCCAAATGAGGCATCCTTTCTCTACCCTACTATTTAATAATATCCAGCAATATTACATGAACTATTTCCTCTTTTGGCTCTCTTCCTCCATCCACCCTTATTTTCCCCAAAGTTTTGTCCCCACTTATACTTAATCACAGGTAAAACCTTAAACTAGTTAGAAAACTGGCTAACCTTTAAGGACAACCCTTTAAAAATGTCACTTTTAAGTCTCTAGGAAATTTAAGTAATCTATACATTTATTTTGAAACAAATCTTAAGCCAAAGTAAATATCCCTTTTTAAATTTAATTCATTTAACATGTGATTACTAAGAAACAACACAATTTAAGTAGTAGCTAAGAAGCCTTTATACTCTGAGAAAACAACTTTTAGGGCATAGGTGGGAAACACAGAAAGGGATAATTTAATTTATTAATCAGTAAGTTAAATGGTAACACTAGAAAGTGGTTGTTTAAGTTTTATGACATCAAAGTGGGGAAATTTGTTTAAATATCCTTCCTCTTTTCTTCAATTGATGAATGCTTTATTCACTGTTTCAAAACGGTTTGAATGTGGCAAGTATTTCTAAACAAACTCATATGGCTATATTTACTTTTTCCATGAAATTACTTCCTATTAAGCAATCAAGTTGAATTCCTTTAGCATACCACAGCCAAACAATAAATGACCCTTACATAATCAGCAAGGAGAGTACTGCCAAAAATCAAAATTAAAAACTTAAATGACAAACTGTTAAGATTAGCAGTATGGGGAATAATCCTAAATTTCATGGGTGATTTAGCAATTGTCCTCTATTATTCTATGAAAACCACAGAACTGCCACCCACAGCAAAGAATGACCCAGCTCAAAATGCTAATGGCCCCCAGATAGAGGAACCCTCATCTACAGCTAAGAATTATACAAGCTTTCGTAAGATGAAGAGCTGGTTACCTGTATTTTACATAGGTAACTCTTGGAAAATTTTTACATTTGAAACCATATTTAATACCCAAGACAGACCAGTATGAAAAAAGTATACTTTCATCTTTTAAAAGCACAGCCTCTTAATTCAGGCCATACATGAAAACTGATATGTTGATTCAAAAATCTAGCAAGTAAGCAAGAAATTTTAAGAAAACTAGAACTTAAAAAATTTAGAAAAAGACAAAGAACTGGATCTGAACCATGAGTACACCCTCATAGGAATGGTCATGTAAATTGAAGATTTCTTTTTCCCCTTTATTTCTGGATAGTCTCAATATTACAGTAGGATTGGTACTTGAAAAAACATTCCATACATCACTCAAAGTTAAGAGTACAGTTTAGTGATTCTAAGAATTTTATCAAATTCTAATGAGCTCAATTCTCATGTGTTTAATTCATATAGCATTAAATGTTCGTACTATACCACCTGAATCCCTGGGTCTTCTAGCTTAAATTTTCTGAATTATAAGCCATATCCATTCTACAGACATATTATAAAAATATTTTTTTATTCACTTAAGAATAATCAGTTTCATTGTGTGAGTACATGTATTTAGGGAAAACAGAGATCCAGTTTTTTAAGAGTTTATGAAATTTTCTATTTAATAAATTAATATTTGCAAGTGTCTTTATATATAACCAGTTTTTGAAGTACCAAATTAATTATTGAAATTATCCAAGTAGTGTAACTCTTCTTCTCAGGACTACATTATGCTCTACCTTGATATAAGTAGACTGGAGTAACAGTGGGAATATTTGTAAATCATATAATGAATAAGGAACTTATATCTAGGACATGTGAAAATATTCTACAACTCAATTTTTAAAAAGATAACCCCATTCAATAATGGACAAAAGGATATGCATAAACATTTTTCCAAAAAAGATTAACATGAAAAGATGCTAAACCTCATTAACCATCAAGAAAATGCAAATCAAAACCCCAATGAAATATCACTCCATATTAACTACAATGTCTATACTAAAAAAGATAGCCGTCAACAAGTGTTTGCAATGATATGGAGAAATTGGGATCCTCATACTAACTATGACGTCTATACTAAAAAAGACAGACATATCAACAAGTGCAGGCAAGGATATGGAGAAATTGAAGCCCTCATACATTGCTGGTGGAAACATAAAATAGTGCAGCCACTTCAGAAACAGTCTGACAGTTTCTCAAAAAGTTAAATATAAATGTCACATGATCTACAAATTCCACTCCAAGAAAAAAAGTATGTCCACCATGAATGTTTATAGCATTAGTCATAATAGCCAAATATTCATCAATAAATGAGTGGACAAACAAAATATGGTCTGTTCATAAAACAGAATATGATTTAGACAGAAAAATAGTGTGATACATGCTAAAGCATGGATGAATCTTGAACATATGCAAAGTGCAAAAAGCCAGACACAAAGAACCACATACTGTAAAATTCAATGTATACATTTCAATAAAGCTTTATCCTGTATAATAAAAGGCTAATATGCAAATTGTCCCTCAAATGGGAGTCTGACCAGGAGTTTGACTAGAGGATAGGGCCGGCCTGCTAACCACGCACGGCCCCTCCCCCTGTACGGTCCTCTCCCCAATCACCCCCCATCCCAATTGGGAGTGGGGCCAGCCCAACCCACCATGTCCTCGGTCCTTGGCTGGCCTGGCCAAATTGGGGCAGACTGGCTGAACACCACCCGTGCATGAATTTGTGCATCAGGCCTCTAGTTTTTAAATAAAGTGTCTTATTTTTTAAGACACTTTGTTATAAAATTGCCACATGAAATCTGAACTAGTTTTTTAAACAAACTAAAAATGTTGGCCTTAATGAATTATAGATGTGATACATTATAAATAAGAATAACACATCTTTGCAAGTCTTTTGTGACATGAAATCATGTAGAATAAATTATACTGAGGATAAATACTAAAATATGTCATATCTTGAAATTTGTTAATATCAAAACCAACTCTGTAAGATGGATGAGTCTTTAGTTTCAAAGAAGCAACTTGCCAAAGTAACATAGTATTCACTCAGTAGTAAAACTATTTCATATCCAGTCTGATTCTAAAACTAATTTTCTTCCCATTAACCATCCTATCTCCCCTAAGAGAACTAAGAATCAGAAAACCTAAAGTCAAGTTAAAGTCTGAACCATCCTCTCAGTATTTTTATCTGTAAATCTCAAAGCATTATAATAAAGATCAAAATGAAATCAAGAACCAGAAATATTTTGTATACTATAATGTTCTATTATAATTCTTTTATTGTTTAAAGTAATTTTACACTTTCTAATAATGAAAACAAACTTTAAACATCAGAAAAAAGCATTACTTCATAAATTAAAACGAAAAACTTGAAATTGCCACAAAAATAATTAGAAAAAGGTTTTTCTTTACAGCTGATCCTTTTCTTTTTACATAACAGAATTGTGACCTCTCTAAAAAAGCCAGGATGGCAATACCATAGATAAAAATAGAGCTACATGATTTCAGCATCACTAGACCACAAACCACATGAAAACTGAAAAACCACGAGGGAAAGGGTAGGTTCATTGTTTTTTGTTTTTTTGTTTGTGTGTGTGTGTGTGTGTGTTATGCAGAATTATAACTAACAAAGCAACAATTTTTAATATATATTTTTATTGATTCCAGAGAGAAAGGGAGAAATAGAAATATCAATGATGAGAGAGAATCATTGATTGGCTGACTTCTGCACATCCGACATATGCCCTGACAGATCGAACTGTGACCTCCTGGTTCTTAGGTCAACACTCAATCACTGAGCCATGCCAGCCAGGCCAAAGCATTCATTTTAATGGCTCTACCTTCAACTTTGAGATTTCTCTGATTAATCTCTGATTTCTCTGATTTCTCTGATTAATCTCTGATTAATGCTATTAACTTTCTTGTTCAATCCCTCCACCCCCACCAATATTCTCCCTACCAGTGCTGTCTGCCTGCTTTTCTATCTATGATTCTAAATGTATTTTGCTTCATAGCTCAACTTATTTATTAAATTCCATGAGTGAAATAATACGGTACTTGATAAATGGTACTGGAAAAAATAAAATAAAATTATAAAAAGTCCTATTAACTTTTAAAAGCCACGATAGCTTTTGTGGCTGTTGTGATTAGTGGTTAGAGCATCACCCTGGACACCAAAGGGCTATGGGCTCGATTCCCAAGTCAGGGCACATACTTAGGTTAAAGGTAAGATCTCGGTGGGGGTTGGGGCATGTGGGTGAGGAACCCATCAATGTTTCTATCTCCTTCTCTCTTCTTCCCTTCTCTTTCTAGAATCAATGAAAAACATATCCTTGGGTGAAGATTTAAAAAAAAAAGATAAGAAGCTATCATTTGCTATAGCATGGAACATTCTGCCATTTCAAAATCATTTTTTAAGAACTAACAACATAAGAAAATGCTCATAAAACAATGCTGCCTAATAAAAATACTTAAGAATGTCAGTTAAGCCAAAACCGGTTTGGCTCAGTGGTAGAGCATCGGTCTGCGGACTGAAAGGTCCCAGGTTCGATTCCCATCAAGGGCATGTACCTTGGTTGCAGGCACATCCCCAGTAAGGGGTGTGCAAGAGGCAGCTGGTCGATGTTTCTCTCTCATCGACGTTTCTAGCACTTATATGTCAAAAACTGGGCTAAGAGCTTTACGTGCTTTAGCTTACATAAACTTTACAATAGGTCTTAAGATATTATCATCATTTTACAAGTGAGGAAAACTGAGACCTATCTTTCTGGTAAGTGACACTACAGTTACGGATTAGTAAATAAGGACCGTGAAACGTGAACCTATGAAATCACCTCTCCATTTATCCAAAAGATGTGGTGCTCTTAGGTGCTCGGACACTCTTTTATACCCTAAAAGGGTGACATACTGCATTCTACTCAACAGACTCAATTTCTGTTTACTCTGAGTGTGAGCTGAGATTCTGGTGTCTGGGTAAGGCCATAGGAAAAAACTGTGTCCAGTTTTGGGGCGGGTATTGGAATGGGAAGGCCAGCATGTGTGTGTATCAGCACTGGCCCTAGGACCTATGGAGAAAATGATGCTACAGGAGAAGACCCAAGTTTTTCCCATGATAGAGCCCAAGACACAGGGACATACTTGTGTGACACCAAATTAGGAAAGTCATTGCCTCCACTTGAGTCAAACACAGCTTGACTTGAAACACTGTGAGGATTACAAGAAATGCAGCTCCAGATTTTGCAACTTGGACATGTGAAGACATACCCTGGGCAAGACAAGTGTAATTCCCCACCCTCCAGGTACCTTTTCGAGCAGAGGAAATCAATCAGACAGAAACAAAGGTGAGGAATGTGAAAGGACTGGTTTCGGGGAAACACTCTGGAGCCTCTGAGAATTAACTAGATGAAATATTAAGGATGAAGCAGGAGCCTTCCTGCTTCAACAAGAAGAGAAATTTGTCAGTGACTTTTAATTATTTTCACTTTTTCGTATCCAGTGCAGTGGTGAAAACTGAAAGGTATTAAAAAAAACTGGAAGGACATACCAGAATTTTAACATGTCTATTTCTGGGTGGCATAATTTCAGGTGATTATTACTGTCTTTGAATGATCTGTTTCCCCAAAATTGTCTAAGGTGAGCAGTACTGTTATTTTATAATCAGGAGGAAAGGGTTTTGTTGTTTTTTTTTAAAAAGTCAACCATTCGATTCTATAAAAATGCTATTTCCAACATTAAATTTCAAGCTTACACCAATATCTGTTTCAGACCTCTAGGATAATTATATCTTGTTATATATGCAAAGTAGCTGTTACTCTTCTTAGACTAGGGAGTATATTTTATACATTTTAATCAAAACAGAAGAAATAATACTCCAAAATGTATTCCACTCCATTACATTTACTATGTAGATTTTGGTTCACCTGTATTTTAACATTTTGTTCCAAAGTAAAACACTCATATTCATTGGTCTTAAATTTTAGGGCTGGTAAACCTAAGCAAACAGACACTCTTGCTAAAGAGGTAGAAGTTCTGAGCTATACAATTAACCCCATCAAATAATTTATATTAATCATCCACTATGTACATGGTTGCATCTTATACTGATTCTCATGCAACATACACTGACTTCCTAAAATAATGACAATGATGAAGTAACTGTTAAAATGGTCCTATAGGCTGTCTTTGGAAATTCTTTTCTCAGGTAATACAGAAAAGCTCATGGTTATCACTGTAAACATAACCTTAAGGCCCATTTTATATAAGATTGTTTTTAAAAGCAAAAATAAAACTTGAGACATAGCTCCACCTACTAATCCTGTATGCTAATATTTATTTAGAAATCAAGTATTTTTAAAAAGGTTTTGGATACCTACCAAGGCCTCAGCTTATTAACTGTGTTTATGAAAAGAATTTTTTTGATAAAGAAAAACTTGAAATTCAGTCATTCATTTAAAAAATGGCGTCACATTCTTACCTGGAGATTTGATGTCCAGCATAGAGGAGAAGGGCAGTCAAAAAATATAGGTAAAGCTGAACCAGGTATTGCCTGGGCAAGGTTAGTAGTACAACACTTAAGATATAACCTGTAGTAAAAATTAAGAGAAATATAAATAAAATACGGTTCTAATTTAGTCTCCCAATTAATTACACACCAATAAAAAGAGACTGAAGTAAATTACTTTCCAGTTAGGTTTCAACAACTTAAGGTTTTTTTTTCACTTCATACCAAAGTAAATTCAGCACAGTAAAACCACTGCAGATTTATTTGTTGAAGATGTAAAGCATTTTTCACTTCTTTTGTAGACGTTTGCACTTTAGGCACAGTGGACTTCTCTCATCATCTACCCTTCCTGATGTCCACTCACGGGTTCTATACCAAGTCTCCATTCCCTAGTCCCAGAGGAAGAACTGGGCACCTTCATGTCCCTCGAAGACTACCCCTTCCATTTCACTTAAGATCTTATTTTTCCAACTTCTAAAGACTCTACCTTCTTCATCTCCAATCATTCCCCTGACACCAGTCCTTACCTCTCTTTTCACACAATGTGCAGGGTTCTTCCCCAAGTACTGAGGAAAATTTCTCTTCACACCAATTTCTTCTTTTTCTATTGCCTGTTTTTCTCATTCCACTGACAAATGTTATAAACTGTATATCAGTGACTCTAGTTTCTCTTTTTTTAAATGTTTTTTATTGATTTTAGTGAAAGCGGAAGGGAGAGGGATAGAGAGATGGAAACATTAATGAGAAAGAAGCATGGTCGGCTGCCTCCTGCATGCCCCCTATTGGGGATCAAGCCCACAAACCAGGCATTTGCCCTGACCTGAAATCCAACAGGGGAGCTCTAGATTCATGGATTGATGCTAAATCACTGAGCAACACCAGCCGAACAAGTGTCTCTATTTTCTAACTATCTATTATTCCTTCTTTATATTCTACTATCTACACATTCTCTACCAATCCCCCCCTTTTCCACTCTAAAGAAGATAACGTGTGTATCTTTGTGCCAGCATCTAAGGTAACTACTCTCAAAATTATTCTTTGACTCTGTGACATGAATTTCCTTTTACCCTGTAAATCCTCCCCTCTACATTCTTTTCACTCTCTTAAATGAACATAGAAAATTTAGTCTCTGAACAACTGCTTTTCTCTGTATAAAATATGTAGCTTCAATAATCAATTTTGTTGCTTCAAATACACCATTCTAGATGTACGGTATCAACAAATAGTTATTCAGAACCTATTATATAAGCAAAACAAAAAACTTAATCCTTTCTTTTCTAAGTAAAAAACTTTATCATTTCTTTTTTTAATATATATTTTACTGTTGATAGTATTACAGATATCCTGTTTTCTCCCTCTTCCCTCCCCCCCTTCCAAAGCTTAATCATTTCTTATTTTAAGAAGACATCTCATAGCACATGATGCCTGGTCATATTCCAATGAGATGTTCTAATATACAAGTACAAACTAAGCTCCCGTCTCCTTCCTCAACAAGCTAGCTCACCCTCTTTCACTCTCCTAAATCCCATTCACGCTGACTCAAATCTGAGTCATCTCTCCTATTACCAAGCCCTGCTGAGTCTTTCTCAATAAATCTGTCACGTTACCCTTCCTTTCCAGTCCCTTATGTGCCCATCCTAAATCACTCTGTAATATATAAGCATACTAATTACTATTCTTTCAGTCTCCTTTCATCTTCATGCATCCTATATTTCATTATCAGGGTAACATTCTCAAAACCATCACTTTCATCTAGGCAACTCTCTTGTACTAAAACTTTTAAAGTTCTAAACTTCTCAGTCTGATATTTTAGGTCTTGCTAAATCTGGTTAATTTACTCTCCTGTCACTATTTTCCACTTAATGAGTCTTTATTAGAGCACAGATATCCCTTCTTAGCATCTAATGCCTCTCTCAGGCTGACTCAACCATCATGCTTAAAGCAAGGAAAATAGATGAAGTGTGCCAAAGGACTAAAGAGGCAAAATTCCGATTCACATGCACCCTAGAATTTGTGCATGTGAAATCGGAAGTCAGAGACAAGTATTTCTCTTCACTTTTCATTTCTTAAAATAATTGCCCGAATTTATACTGCTAAATAATTGGAATGTGAAAATGGGAGTGTTGTTCTAAACAGAGGTATTTAAGAGGATATTTATTATATTTAACAAGCATTTTTAGTGTTTGTGGCTGAAGAATTTTTCTAGGCAGTCTATGGCATAAAACTTTCCTTAAGTTCTTTGAATGAACTATCCTTTTCCTTTCCATATATTATCTTTCTCATTTCCTGTGCATCTCATAAAATCAGCTACCAAATCCTCTAATTGAATATATTCATTTAATTCATTCTGTCAATTACCCAGTCACTCCACTAACATTATTATATGTAAAGTATGACCCATATGCATTCCTAGGCATGGAAGATCCAAAGGAGAATAAAATAATCAGTCTAGTGAAATATGAACATGGACAAAAGTATGATACAATATTGTTGCTGTAATAAGCAAACATTAGAAGGGCTATGGTTGATTAATTGATTAAGTTTGATCTGGACCTCAAAGAGTGAATGAATCTCTCTACCAGGAGGAAGAAGGAAAAAAGCATTCTAGGAAAAGAAAACAGCCGAATGAAAACCATAAAATCACAGAGTGTTTTCAAAAGACAGTCAATTTTGTAGGCTAGATTAATATTTGGTGTAAACAGAAAGAACATTGGAAGAGTATTGGGAGGTAGTGCTAACAGAACTGGTGCCAAAAGTCTCAATATAAAGCCTTGTAAATTCCAATAAGGAGTTTAGACTGAATTAATGGTTCTCAAACCCTTTAGAGACCCATAACGTTAGGCAAGAAAACAAACAAAAAAACAAATCAACAACAACAAAAAGAATCTACACCCCCATTTTCACATTCCAATGGAAAAATAACTGTGGTAATAACATACTGCACAAGATTTTTGAGAGATTAGGAATACTTATGCAAAATGAGAGTGGTATGAATAAAACTTTTGAACTAAAAGACTAGATAATTCTAAAGTTCATATAGAAAACTAACAACAGAAAAGCTCAGAGGGAGAAATAAAAAGCAATGAAGGGACTAACTCTATCAGTCAATGAAATATAATCTAAATCCTCAATAATAAGATAGACAAACCAAAAGGAGAGGCTCAGATGGTTGGAGCTTCATCCCATATACCAAAAGGTTTCGGGTTTGATTCCTGGTCACTGCATAAGGAAACAACTGATAAATGTTTCTTTCTCTTTTTCTCTATCTCTCTCTTTCTCTCTCTCACTTTTTTACTTTCTCTCTTTTTCTAAAATCAATAAACATCCTTGGATGAGGCTTAAAAATAAAGACAGGAAAAAAATTCAGAAATAGAATAAGATGTATGTGATAATATAGTATGCTGTATAGGTATATATAATTTAGTAATAATAATCAGTCAGGAAAACTGTTTAATAAATACATAGAGACTACTGGACAGTTATCTGGGGGGGAAATTATATTTGTAACACACTGTGCATGCATATAAATTCAGAAAAGCTTTTCTAATCAATTCAAAATTGTAAAGTTATAAAAGAAGAAACAATAAATTTAATCACATTAAAAACAAATTCTGCATGTCAAAAAAATCAAGCATAATTAAGGGAACTGAAACTGGGAAAAATGATTTCAAAGGACAAGTTTCTCCCACAAATTGTTTAAAAAAAAGGCTAACAATCTCATAGAAAAGTGGGCAAAGGACATTAACTGACAACTTTCCCAAGAGGAAATACACATTTTTCTTAAATGTAAATAAATTAAATCTCACTCATAATAAGAAAAAAAATAAAACTACATTTAAAAACATCCATTTTTCACATACTGAAAATAAATATGAAAGTTTGTAACACTTCTTTGAAAAGGATGTAGGACTGCAGGAACCCTCAACCATTGTTCCTGGAGGTACAAAATAGTAAAACCCTGCGGAGAGTGCTGTCGCTCAATACTACAAACATATACAATCTCTAATCCAGCAATTTCACTCCTAGCAATTTATCCCAACATTATATTTGTACTCGAAATTATGGCTATACCAAATTATTTAGTACAATACTTAATGAAACAGAAGACAGGATCTACCTAAAATGTCCACTAATTGTTAGTTCAATAGACTATATAAGGACACAGTTATTTGATTGGGACGGGAATGAGGACTCAACATTATCTCAGAAACTTTTTTGGCAGAACAGACTACAAAGCTTTATTTCATGAATATCTATCTAAAAACAGTAATTATGGTTCTGATTTGTCATTAAGTCAAAACAAACAAAAGATTCAGAATAGTGTGCATTATACTAATAGTACAAAAAAGGGGAAATACATACACTTAAACTATATATTATATTTACACTTATATTATCAACACATTTTTATACTTATTTATATATACACAACAATATCTGTAAGATTATACACAAAGAAATAAAAATAGCTGCTTGTTCAGGCTCAGAGAGAGAACTTAATGAATGAGAAACAGATATAGGGGGAGATACTTTTCACTGTATACTTTTTATGCTTATTGATTTTTAAACATAAATACATTACAGTGTTTAAGGAGGAAATTTCTATAATCAAGAACATTACATAAGCACTACCTAATACTTTGACACAGGGGTTTCTATAACCAAAAAACTATTCAAGCTAAAATTATCTACTATGTAATCACTGAGCTTACTCTACCAAAGCATATACTAAGTGTATTTAAGAAGGATGAGTTACATTCACAAAGTTATGTCAGTGGGTATGAAGGGCAACTGAACTAGAACACATTCAATTTCTAAAATTAATGTTTCTGGTAACAAAATGGCTGTTTTTACAACAAATATTTAAATCTATAAAAAATAATATACATGATAAACACATTTTTTTAAACCACCCTATAAATTATTTGATTAAGCTAAACATCTAAGCCAAGTACTCAATTGTTCTTCTAAAACAGACTGGAATTATTTCCCATAAATTGGCTAACATACAAAGCCTCTAATAAAGGGCTGAGAATTATAGTGTTTCACAGCATAAAACAATCTTCTCATGTCAGACTTTCCTAATGTAGTGCCACCTAAGAGAGACAGTTTATTGTATTCAGATGTTCTGCTTCTAGTACACACTGTCTTTTCTGCTAGATCTTATTTCTTCCCACAATGACTTACTTGGTAATAATCTCTTAGAGCTGGAAGGGGTTCTCAGGGCTAGGCTTTGGCACCCAAGAAGTCCTTCAATAGATAAAAATAAATCTCATAGAGACAGGACAATCCTTGACAATTTTATAAAAGATGTACTTGTTGATGGGCAATTCTAGTAAAAATATTAATAAAACCACTATAATACATCATTCAAACCATGTATTGAGTTATGCAATAGCAATGCTAAATAAAATATATGGTTGCTATCATTTCACGTAAATCAAAAATTAACAAAAAAATTGAGAATCATAAGTTTTTAATGTAGATGAATTTTATGTTTCCTGAAAATATTTTTAATATATTTTATTTTTTTTAAATATATTTTATTGATTTTTTTACAGAGAGGAAGAGAGAGGGACAGATAGTCAGAAACATTGATGAGAGAGAAACATCTCATCAGCTGCCTCCTGCACACCCACCACTGGAGAGGTGCCTGCAACCAAGGTACATGCCCTTGACCGGAATCTAATCCGGGACCCTTCAGTCCACAAACTGACACTTGATACACTGAGCCAAACCGGTTTCGGTTCCAGAAAGTATTTCTTGACTTTAATTTCTTTAACTCCCTCAACATTACTTTTATAACTAACTCCAAATCATATAAATTATATTTCAAGGAGTATTTTAAAAAAATATATTATATCATTTCCCACCTTTCATTTAACTGAAATGAAGGTTTTCTTTTCTTTTCTTTTTTTTAAATATATTTTATTGATTTTTTACAGAGAGGAAGGGAGAGAGACAGAGTTAGAAACATCAATGAGAGAGAAACATTGATCAGCTGCCTCCTGCACAGTCCCTATTGGGTATGTACCCACAACCAAAGTACATGAATCTAACCTGGGACCACAGGCTGATGCTCTATCCACTGAGCCAAACCGGTTAGGGCTGAAGGCTTTATTTTCAACTGATGTTTGGAACAATAAAGAATAATGCATTTTAAAAAGCTTACTTTCTGAATCACTACCAAAACCACAAATAATCACAAATTAAAACAAGCTAAATATCTAGGAAAGTATTCTTCATTATTTATATTTTATCATATTAAAATCTAAAATGTTTTCTTCTGCCCTCTAGTTTCATCCAGTAAAATAATACAACTGTTTTCTTCCACCCCTAATAATCCATATGCAATAGTAAGACTATAACCAAGATTCATAAACGTTCATTATGGCTCAACACAAGGTGATGCAGACACTTACCTACATAATGCATATTAAGAGCCAAATACTTATATTGGAAAAGAGGGTTGTGATTGAGGCTACTTCTTTGGATCTGCTGGAAGAAGGAGCTGACATCCCATCTGTACAGGACATCCAACAGCATGATGCTTGGCACCCTCAGGGCCACGTTTAACATCGCCTCCATTTTCTCCTTTGCAGCCATGTTTTTTCTTGGAGCAGACCTAAAATTCAAGAGGTACAGTATATAAAAACAAGTCACCTCAAATAGCTTTTAGATATCTTCTTATGAGTCTAATGGATTTTCACATACTATTCAAAGACTATATTGGACTGTATGAAACTTCCTAGCCACATTAAGATTCTGATGAAATGTTCAGGCCTCCAAATTTAGTTTTAAAAAGCCCCTAATTCCAAATCTAGGCACTTAGCAACAAAATACCCTAAAATAATATTGTAGCTTTTGTCTAATTAATTTGCGATAAAAAATTCACTTCTATGAAATTACTTGAGATATATGTAGCTCTTAAATGAAGGAAAACATTAAATATTCATAAATGTTAAAAACCTAAACAATTCAATAAAAATTTGATAAGTACATATTTAGTCTGCAGCATCTCAATCTATTCTTTTCCTTATCACTTAATCAAAACAGAAGTACTGAATTTACATGCTATAGATAAAATCCAGAGAACTGGTGATATGTACATGGAAAATTATTTGCAATACTGTTTCCTTGAATTATTAGAATTAATCTCTTAATCTGAAATCTCCATCATTTGCCTTCAAGGTAAGAAAATAATTTAGATTCTTTCTATGATACACAGACATGCTTGCTGGCACGTGAAAGAAGTCAGGCATTGTGTGAATCTGCAGCCCCTGACTTGACTGAATTGCTGATGAGCAGTAGAGTGAAGAAGGGAAAAAGAAGGAAATTAAGGATCTCCTAGACAAATCTACTTAAAAGGACAATTCAGTGGAATACTGTTTTATATAACTGAGATGCAAATTAACCCAAGGAATTAAAAAAAAGAGGATAGGATAGGACAAAGGTGGGTAAAGGACAATTTTAAGATAATTCTGAATTATTGGCTCTGACGATATCCTTTTAAGAATTTTGCTGAGAAAGCTAAACACATGTCTAGCTTTGGCAGTGATTTCAGACAAATGAAAACATTTATTTCTGAAGAAAATTATAGTGACAGATTGCTATGCTATGGTTAAATATATGTCAGTATTTCCGTTTTACCCTCTAATTTTCATTGCTCCCAAGCTCCGATAGTTGTTTTTTGTGTTATTTCTTTTTAAAAAGGGGGCAGCACATCTTGGCACACTGTTATTATAAGTTTTTCAAGCATGGAAAAAATGATATTTTCATTGATTGTTGGCTAATCACATATCCTTCCTATTGCCCTCATTATATATACACATCCTATCAATACCAAATAATTAACATTTTTGTAAATACTGAAAATCTGGTTACATGAACAAGACCACTTTAATAATTATCCTACATTAAAAAATAATAATAATATGGTGAGAGAATCCAAATCAGGTGGGCCTAAGAGAAAAAAAGCACTGAAAAATAAAATCTCAAATCAACATTTATTCAGAATCCTAAGTTTCTCAAAGCTCATATTTAAGTGTGTGTGTGGGGGGGGGGGGGAAGTCTGGGAAGAAATACACCAAAATATTAACATCCTTTCAACAGTGAGGCTGGGTAATTTTTATTTCCTTCTTTCTACCCTTTCTGTTTGCCAAATGTTTTAGACTAATGGTCGGCAAACTCTTTAGTCAACAGAGCCAAATATCAACAATACGATTGAAATTTCTTTTGAGAGCCAAATTTCTTAAACTTTTTCTAACGCCACTTCAAAATAGACTCGCCCAGGCTGTGGTATTTTGTGGAAGAGCCACTCAAGGGGCCAAAGGGCTACATGTGGCTCACGAGCCAGTTTTCTGACCACAGTTTTAGACTATTCATGTGTTATTTGGAAGGTATGGAGATGCACTTATAAAAAGAAAAATTCTTGGTAAAAAGTATAATGTGCTTGTGCCATCTACTTAAGAGTATATACAGGAGCCGAAACTGGTTTGGCTCAGTGGATAGAGCATTGGCCTGCGGACTAAAGGGTCCCAGGTTCGATTCCGGTCAAGGGCATGTACCTTGGTTGCGGGCACATCCCTGGTAAGGGGTGTGCAGGAGGCAGCTAGTTGATGTTTCTCTTTCATCAACGTTTCTAGCTCTCTATCTCTCTCCCTTCCTCTCTGTAAAAAATCAATAAAAAATATTTTTAAAAAGAATATATACAGGAGCCCTGCCAATGTGGCTCAGTTGGTTGGAGCATGGACCCAAGCACCCAAAAGGTCTTGGGTTTGATTCCCAGTCAGGGCATATCCTGAGAGATCTGGCACAGTTTCTCTCACTAAAATCAATGTAAGCCTATCCTCAGGTGAGGATTTTAAAAAAATATATACATACACACACAGAGGAAATAACAGCTTATTCTGGTGATTTAAACTGATAACTCAATGTGCTCTTAGGAGTTTAGCTATTTTTTCCATATTCTAAAATCCAATATAAATCACTACTCCTTTTTTAAGCAAAAACAACATAAAAGAAAATATTTACTGAGTTAATATTTGTGGTCCATATTTACTTCATTTGATTTGGAACCTTCCTCTTTTTAATGTTATTTTTAAATGTACCCACTTTCATCCTTCACTGTATCTCTTAAGGGGTAGAGAAAAAACTTGAAACAAATAACCAACCTTGCATTAGAAATCATGATCTGAACTGTTTTGTTTTGTTTTGTTTTGTTTTGGGGGGGAGAATTTCTTTAATTCTTACAAAGGATCATCTCTATTACAAAAGACCATTAATACAATGGTACACATTCCCTAGTATTTATCTCTACTCCTGTTTCACAAACAGAACAAGAATAAAGAGAGAATCATGGGCCCTGACCAGTTTGGCTCAGTGGATAGAGTGTCGGCCTGCGGACTCGAGGGTCCCAGGTTCAATTCCGGCCAAGAGCATGTACCTTGGTTGCGGGCACCTCCCTAGTGGGAAGTGTGCAGGAGGCAGCTGATTGATATTTCTAGCTCTCTATCCCTCTCCCTTCCTCTCTATAAAAAATCAATAAAATAAATTAAAAAAAAAAAAAAAAAAGAGAATCATGGATCTCTAAAGCTGTCAGTACAGAAGAATATTCAAGGCAGAGCCCCAAACTCTAAACATAGTAAACTCAAGAGTCTAAATTAAGAAGGACTTTGGATAGAGTGAAATATGCCCATTTAATAACAAATATATTGCTTATTAAGCTTCTCATTTATTTCTGTACATGAATGCCATGTATAGGGATATGGAGGAAACAAAGTTTATACAATGAAAAACCAAATCTAAAATGTAACCCACAAAAGATATGGAAAGAAAAAAAGAAAAAAAATTTTTCTCTAAATAATTTTTAATCTTTCTAAAGTAGAAATGCCATATAGAGTGGTGATCAGCACAAATAAATACCATACATAACACTATAGCACCATAAACTAAACCAACACCTAAACAAAATGCTGCAATATTTATATGATTTGCAGATACCTGAAACCACTCATACCTGCCAAATCAATGATTACAAGCTTTTAGTCAAAATAGAGCTTTCTCTCCTGGAGTAAAGAGATTATTATACCTTTATGATGTTTGGTTCAAGCTTCATTTATCTTTTTCCTTAGACTTGTTGGATAGATCTAATGAGCATATTCTAAGTCAGAGTGAGCTCCAAATTCTCTTAAAACCAAAACAAGACCAAAAAATTCTCAAAAATAAGGAGGAAAGCCAAAGGCAAAGAAAACTGAAAGGCTCCACACTCTTAGAACCAAACATATAAGCTCCTTCCAGCCCAGTTCAGTTACATACATTTTACTTTCAATGAAAGATTTTAAATTTTTCTCCTTGAACTATGAAGAATTGGAAAATACTCCAACACCATGTCTCCGCAAGTACCATAAACTAAATGTGACTAAAACTTAAGATGCTTTACCCAGTAAAATAGTTTAAGCAAACAATTCAAAAAATAAAAAAAAATTTTTAAAAAGCCTCTCTGTCCAATAATGGGGGGAAAAGGTTCAACAAATGCTAACCAAAAACAGGACCACAATGATTTCATTAAATGACTTTCCCAGGCTTGAAAGCAATAATCGCTACTTACAAACACAGTAATATCTGTACAAGTATAACGCTGCATGGTTCGCCATTCATATTTGTGGGTTAGGAAACACAAAAAGCCTCATTCTACACTTTCCTGAAAACACTGCATTAGTTTTAAATCTAAAGAAATCAAACAAATTATCACGAACAATATAATAAACGTAAGATTTTAAAGTCATGGCTCATTTCAGTTGAAGAATTGTGGTAAATAACAGAAATGGAAAATAATGTGATGTTTCCCCAAAAATGAATAGTATTCACATCTCCTGGATAAACTCCCTTTTAAAAAGACAAAGCAAAAATAAGAATACTATATAACCAAATTTAAAAATGTTCAGGACATACTTAGGATAATTTAAGTTTCTACACCTTTTTCCATCAAAAAGGGGGGGGGGGACTTTCACTCATCACTAATTTCCTTTGTCCCATTCAATTAAAAAATATTCCACCATCAGCTAAAACCAATCTTAAAACTGACAGATTTTCTAGTCGTCCATATGTTAGTATGATAAGCTCTTAAAAAAAATGTAAAAGGATAAAACTAGAGCCTAAAACCATAAGTCAACTCTGCCAAAAACATCCGGGAGGAGTATGCACTGCTTACATAAGCGCTGGCACATGTCTAAAATATAGCTGGTCCTCCCCACTCCCACTCACTGCTAGCTAACTTTGTATGTACCTGATTCCCACATAAACTACTAGCAGTCCCGTAGTTCCTCAGCATCTCCAGATCGGCAAAGATACAGTCCACTCTGAATCTTTCAACTTAGGGAGCCAGACAGCGGAAAGTAAAAAACTGCTACCTCTGCCATTCAGCGCTCTACCGGGGTCACGACTGCAGCACCGACAGCTCATCCTCTTTTGGGCGTGATTCAACAGTCAGAGCTGCACGCTCCGTGTTTTAAAACATAAAAAAGGCACAGTCCCCTCTCCTTTCCCTTCACACTAGTTTCCTGTTTCCTGTAAACTGCGATGCAAAGCCATCCATTAATCTTTGATGCCTTCACACTGCAAAGCCCCCCTCCCTCGTCCCTGCCTCTCCTCCCCCAACGCCACGCCTGCGGATCTCAGACGCGTTTGAACTATAGTAACCCCGACTCAGCTCGCTGCAAAGCGAGCAAGAGCAGCAGCAGCAGCAGCAGCAGCAACGGGGCCGCCGCCGCAGCCGCGGGGTAGGGGATTACGTTCACAAAAACTCTGCCAGGAGAGAGGCCCGTGCCAAGGGGGGGGCTCTCCTCCTGGTCTAGCAAAGGGTGCTGGCTGCTCCGCGCCAAACACCAGAAAGGTTCCAGAGAAAGATGCGGGGAAGTTCTTCATCCTCCAGCGCGAAGGAGTCTCGTTCCTTAAGGAAGGGCCTGGGTCTCAGGGTCCCTGGGTGGGAAAAAGCGAACTGCGCGGGGCGGGAGGGGAGAGAGAGGGTGCAGAAGGAATGGCAAGCGAGGAGGAGGAAGCGATAGGGACAAAAAGGAAGGGATGAGGAGTGCTCTTACTGGGGGGAAAAAAAGGACTCACGGACGGGATGCACAGCAAACGGGTCCCCCATTCGAAGAATGGCTTGGCAAAGCCTTTCTGCAACCCCCAAACCTCGCACCTCAAGAGGAGGAGAAGGAGGAGGAGGAGGCTGTTTGGGGCTGCGTAAACCGGAGATGGGCAAGGCAAGAGGAGGGAGGGGGGCAAGCCTGGACGCAAAGTGGACAAAAGACTGCGAAAGAGGGAAAGTTGGAAGTAGGAACTAGAAAAAAAGGAGCGACTAGGAAAAGGGCAGCTCAGGAAGGGGCTTACAAAAGGCCTTGAAATGGGATGCCGGGGAGAGGATGGGGGGAGCGCAGAGTGAGGGGACCTTAGGAATGACGGGGGAGGCGAGGGATAGCTCCGGGAGGGTGGGGAGATGGGGGAGAAGGGGGAGATAGGGGGGGGGGGCAGCCGATCCGGCGCGGGAAGGGGCCCTGTGCGGGGCTCCGGGAGGGAAGGGCCGGCGAGGGGGCCAGGAGGACCGCGGGAGGGCTGGCGATGGAGAAGAAGGGACGTGGACGCCGCCGGAGAGAAGAGAGCTGAACGGGGGGAGAAGGGGCGCCGGCAGAGAAAGGGCAGGCACGGCGACGGAAAGGGGGAAGGGAGCCGAGGGAAGGGAGGATGCCGGCGGCGGGTCGGGGGCACCCGGGTGGGAAGGGGGCGGACGCGGCGGTCACCTCGGGCTGCAGGGTCCCTGCCTGCGAGGCGGCGCCGCCGAGGGCTGAAGGCTCCGCTGATGCCTGGCTCTCTCCCCCGCCCTCCCGTCCTCCTGGAGCGGCGGCGGCGGCGGCGGCGGCGGCGGCGGGGGCCGGGACAGCGGGGCTCACAGCGGCGGCTCCTCCGCGCCGGGCCTTGGCTGCTGTGTCTCGGGAGGAGGCGGCGGCGGCAGCGGCGGCGGCAGCGGCCCGACGCGTACGGTCACCATCGTCCGCGGCAGCGTGCGCTCGCGGGCAGAGCCCGTCAGCAGCCGGCGGCGGCGGCCATGGCCTCCAGTGCTCTCTCCGCTCCGCCCCCGGGCGCTCTCTGCGGCGGCGGCCGCGGTCCGCTCTCCGCTCTGCGCCTGCGCGCGGCGCCGCCAGCGCGGCGCGCCCCGCCCCCGCCCCCGCCCCCCTCCCGGGCGCGCGCCCGCGCTCACTCACAATCGCGCGGGTCCGGGGGTTCCCGCGCCGCCGCCTCGCGCTGCGGTGCGTGGGTGGGAGAGACGAGCCCTCGGCGGCCCGCGCAGCCCGGCTCCGGGGGTTATGGGAACGCGCGCCCGCGCCGGCCCGCGCACTGTGACACGCGCCATTCTGACACACGTGCGCTCTCACACTCCCCACGCACACGCTCACACCCACATCCACCTGCCGGGCCCACGTGGCAGAGCTGGAGGGGGCCCGGTCCTAGCTCACCCGGTGCCATCGCAGCAGCAATGATGCCGGAACGTATTACATGATGCCAGACAATATCACAGTGAAGGCCTGGGGGAAAGGCAGGAGATGGGTAGAGGGGGTTAATGGGGGAAATAAGGGAGGGACATCTGTAATACAATAAAGGTAAATTTAAAATAAAATAATAAATCTTAAAAAAAAAAAAAAAAAAAAAAGGTGGTGGTGGGGGGGAGAGAATGGCTTCAAAGTCCTATAACCTTGACTGTAACTATTCTGGACTTCTAAAAGCAAAACAAGCCACATGTCTTTTTTTTTTTTTTTTTTTTTTTTCTTTTTTCTAAGTCCCTCGGTGACTGGACTAGACTGTCCACGCTATGGCGTTAGGGACCACGTCGGTGATGGCTCGGCGGTGCCCAGCGCAGGACGGGGTATCCAAGAAACCTCTGCTGAATAAGAGAGTGGGTGAAAGGAATAAATGAATTGGAACGGAGCATCCTGAACTGGAAGATTCCGCCCCTTCCCTTTACAGAATTTGCTCCCAAGAAGATGACTGTAGTAGTATTAAGTGGTTATTTTGTGTTTGACTTGTCTTTTCAGTCTAAGATTCAAAACAGATCAGAGTACACACACACACACACACACACAGAGAGAGAGAGAGAGAGAGAGAGAGAGAGAGAGAGAGAGAGAGAGAGAGAGAGAGAGGCGCCCTTCCTCCCCAAGGTCGAAATTCTGCTGGAATTTCAGGCACTGACCAGCATGACTGCCCTGATTTACATGTCGACACACTTTTTTAGGGCAGAAACTGCCCCACTTCCCCACAATACAAAGCCCGTGGCACGTTGGAGTATGCACAGAATGCATCAAGGATGCCGCTAGTCCTCCCTGCTTTGGCAGGACTGTTAGGTTGCTATGAGAAACCAGTCGAGCCTTTGATGTTGTCAGTGCCTGTTACATAAATGTATGTCCGTAGGTAAAATGTTGCAACTATACTGGATCATCCAGAAACTGAGAAGCCTCAACTGCTGCTTGTTACAGGATAAATGGATGTGTTTAGATCTAGATTTCTGGGCTGGGGGCCCTCCTTGGGAATTCAACTCTCTGGCCTCTACACTTTAAACGCCAAACCCCCGATTCTGAGCAGTTTTTGCGTCTTGCTAAAATTGTAAAAGGAAGCTCCCCTATAATTTAAAAAAAAATGTAATTACTAGAGGTATCAGCCAATCAAATTCAGAGTAACTTCCCCCTTCAATAGTTTGATTTCTATAGAAATCAAGTTTTTTTTTTTTAATTTTCTGGGAATTGTGTTCCAGAAAATAAAATTACTACAGCCACCTTTTATCCAGATGCCTTAAACTACTTTAGAATAATCATTAAGCCTGCTACATCCCAGAGAGGCCATTTTATGAGTCTCTTTATATATCCTGGTTAAGTATGAAATTACAGAGACCACATGACTAACGTCTGGAATAGGAAATTGCCCAAGATAGCAGATCTTATCCCTTGGTTTCTCCCTGTTTGGACAACTTTATTACCGACTCATTCAAGAAAATAAAAGACCACAGACATTACAAAAAAAGTCAAAATCGATATAATGCTAAATTCTAACTAGTTTTTATTTACTCCTCTAGGGTGAGTTGCAGAAATCTTGAAAATATTACCTTAGTTTTGTTACCAGGTTGGTGTGTTTTGTTTAAATGAAGGAAAGGCCTACCTCAGCTTCAGAGGGGGTTTGAGGGGTGAGTGGGCTGGCAGTAAGAGATTAATCAAAGAATGTATATATGCATGTATGCATAACCCATAGACACAGACAATATTACAAGGAAGGCCTGGGGGAGAGGCAGGAGATGGGTGTAAGGGGAATGGTAATAAATCTTAAAAAAAAAAAAAAAGAAGAAGAAGAAGAAGAAGAAGAAGAAGAAGAAGAAGAAGAAGAAGAAGGGGGGGGGTGTTAAAAATAGCTTCAAAGCCCTAAAACCTTGATGTAACTACTCTGGACTTCTAAAAGCAGAAAAAAGCCACATGTCTTTTTTTTTTTTTTTTTTTTTTCCTTTGAATTTTATAGCAGCTGCCAGTAGATCTGAAGTTCAAACAAGTGAAGAAAATTACTCTGGTAATGAAAGGGTTACTGCTATTACATTGCTGCAGATCCAGTTTGGGAAAGCTCCACATTGCCAGAAACAGGTAACCAAATCAAAAGAAAAAGAAACCTATAGGAAAAAAAAGAACAGGCAAGGGGCAGTAGAGAGGACCACTCAAATGAAAGAGCAATCACAGTAAAAGTACTTTCCAGAGGCACCCAAACCCACCCTAATCAGGAAAGGTCAGGAGCAAAATTTAGGGTAAGTGCCTGGTACCAAGCTTAAAGAAAAACCCAATGCCACAGCTTGGTCATAAAAGGAATTAGCTTCGGTTGCTAGAAAGGAGTAGAGTGTTTATGACTGGAATAGCAAGCCATTCAGGACTATAAAAGTTATTTTCCTGTTCACTAAATGTATTTAACAGTGAGGAGGAGTGCATATTTAGTTACAGCTCTAGTCATTCTAAAAGGCTAGTCTCTGAATTCCTTATAAAACCGACTATTGCTAGTAATCACATAGAAATAGTCCTTGGATGAGTATCTTCAGATAACTGATGGTCAGCTTGTTATGCTTTACCTTCTAGATCCAGTGATAAGATCTCATATAATAGGTTTCACAAAAGGGGGCCCAAATTCAAAGAACTTGGCTAGCCAACATTGGAAATATAGAGAAAGGAGAATGTTCTCATTTATTCACTCATTTCCTTAGTTCCTAATATTTTCTGGGTACTTTGAAAGTTTTCTCTATCCAACTCAAAATTAGTTAATTTTAGTGAATAGAAAAGTCTGAGTCATATATAAAATCTCATTAAATCTAGAAAGGGTTGGGGAGGCAGGCAGTAAGAGATTAACCAAATATTGGTTTGATTTTGAAATCCAATGGTTTGATTTTGAAATCCAATTCCAAGAGGAAAACTGTACAGTCATGCCAGACTTTCCCAAGTGGCTGCTCCATTTTACATTCTCATCAGCAGTGTATGAGGGGAGATTTACCCTTAGATTCAGAAGGCCCCTTGTTAGACTTGGGACCCTGTACCAAGTGGACATAATTTATAAACACCTCCATCTGTCATCTGTGAAACAAGAGTAATGGTAGTATGTTCTACACAGATTATAATGAAAATTAAATGAAATGTGAATATTCCTAATACAAAGTAAGCCCTCAATAAATGTTATTAGTTTCCTTCCTTCTGTCTTTGATATTTGATTGGCAACATTTATTCTGTAGTAAAGTCAGATAAAGATATAATTGTAACTCCCTATTAACAATAAGAGCTACTGCATGGCATGTGTGGCTCAGTGGTTGAGTGTCAATCTATGAACCAGGAGGTCACAGTTCCATGCCTGGTCAAGGCACATTTTTCAGGTTGGGGGCTAGATTCCTGATGTGGGACTGCAGATTCTCATAATTTATGTTTCTCTCTCTCCTCCTTTCCTCACTGAAATCAATAAAAATATGTATAAAAAAATAAGATATGCTTACACATAGTTGCTTAAATCTTTTTAATGGATGATTATATTGTTGCAATACAAAATAAATTCATCTTTTTCTACCTTCGGTGGAATGAATACCCAAGTCTATAGGAGGGAAAAAGCATAGAAACAAATCAGCTTTTGTTTGGTTTGAATTTTTCAAATCTGCCCCCCGCCCTAAACATTTTTTATTTCCCCAACTTTTCATTTGGAAGAGTTTAAAATATACAGAAGATTTAAGAGAATCATCACTCATATACTCACCATCTAGATTCAACAATTGTTAAGGTTTTGAATATTTGCTTTATGTATGTGTATGGTTTGTTAAACTATTTGAGAGATACGGACAACACTCTGCATCCCTAAATATTCTAGCCTTCCTCTTCTAAAAATAAGAGCTTTCTTCAGTATTGTCAAATGCCATTACCACACCTAAGAAAATGAATTATAATTCCCTAAATCTTTTGCTGTCCAACCAATATTCAAATTTTCACAGTTCTCCCTGTATTATCTTTTTTCTTTTTTTTAAAATATATTTTATTGATTTTCTTACAGAGAGGAAGGGAGAGGGATAGAGAGCTAGAAACATTGACCAGCTGCCTCTTGCACACCCCTTATCGGGGATGTGCCCGCAACCAATGTACATGCCTCTGGCTGGAATCGAACATGGGACCTTTCAGTCCGCAGACACTCTACCGCTGAGCCAAACCGGTTTCGGCTCCCTGTATTATCTTTTAGTGATAATTTTTTTTCTCCAACCAAGATCAAATCAAGTGGTTACATCTTAATTGCCTTAGTTGTTACATCTTACAAGCCAACTTTGCTTTTAATCAACCTGAATGCTTCTGACTGGAGTCTCTAACATCGGCAGGGAGAAGAAAAAAATATACTGTTGTTGTTTTCAAATTTAAGATCAACTGGTATACCTCCATCCTACCCTGCCATTTTCTTTGTCTTGATTTTGATTAAGCCTGAAATGGGCAGTAATACAAAAGTATGAGTTGC